CCTTTTCACGTTCTGTTGTTACTATTTGTCTTAATTAGCATTTTTGCCTACTTATTATTCAACTTGCTTTGTAATCATTCATTCAACTGAGGATGACAGAAGTTCTGTCGAAACATGTCTTTTAAACTTAAAAAATTGGTCGTTTTCCTTAAAATCTTTGCATAACTTTGCAAATGTTGCGCTTTAATTTGGCTACGGTTGGCTTCTTCCTTAGCTAACATTTCATCAAATGGTTCATGATACTTTTCTATGTTTTCACTATTCATCCCTATATTCATATAAAGGAGAAAAAGTCTTAAACTGTTTTACATATTCATCTATGTTGATTTCTCACTTCCATAAACATCCTCAAGATTTATTATTGCTAAAACAGGCTTATGCATCAGTCCATTTACGTCATAAAAATGTCACTTACACCAATGCAACGGCAAATGAACTCGAGTAATATCGAGTTCGACAAACTTGAAAACAGATAAAAACCCCATTTGAGAGCCTCTATTTTCGGGCCAGAAATTTTTAAAAATCCACCTAGAGTACAAGACGAAAATATATCATTCATCAGCTTTGATTTTACTCCGAAGTTCAAAACAAGCATGGCCAAAGAGTTGATCCAGGGTATTCCGAGAAACAACTCCAGCTAATAAAGAAGTCGTGATCACAGAGAGACTTGGACCCGCGACCTCCGGATTTCAAATCCAGCGCCCTAACCACTTGACTACGCTGCCTCCCATCATTTTCAGCCTTGGAATTCTAGCTCGGTTTTCTAAAACATTTTCAGGCCAGCATCCCAATATTGTATTCAGTCTGAGTTTTTAATGGTCCGCTAGAAAGCATTCAAGTAAAGTTTACTTATTGCTAATGTTAAAACGGCACCTGTGGCCGCATTAAGGACGACCATAGAAAGCTGAAATCCACTGTAATTGGCATCTGAAGTTAAGTCCACGCTGAAGACATTTCTATAACATATCACATCTGCGGTTCCATTCTGAACGGTAGCGCTGCCGCAATCAATTGTACCCTCGCTAATCTTGTTCCAAGCATCGTATTTAAAGCACTCCTTCGCTCCGTCACTTTGTTCGCAGCTGTGACTAATATCGGCGGCGTGAAACAGCAAGCGAGAACATTTCTGCGTTTGTAGGTTATACATGTAACTTACTTTGAGCAGAATCAATTGAAAGAACAACGTCACCAAACCGTCAGACATCAGCAGAAACAAATATAGAAAACAACACAAAGGCTGGCGAAATAATGAACTGCAATTTGCATTATCAATGTCTTTCATTGATTTTGTCTTTTCAAATTGTCTCAGATTGTCCCTGATACTCTTCTTTGGCTCACACACAGTTACCACGAAGAGGACTACAAAAGGGCCAACGGCGAAGAGCAGTGCTGGTACCGAGATAATAAGCATGTACTCTTCCTCCATGATTATATGACTGTTGAAAGCCGCGAAGATACCAAATAACGAGTTGTCGCCGTATTGAACTCTGCAGGGGTCAAAAGTGATTAGAGAAGAGCGCTACAAATTGAAGATCGAGCGATGTTGTTTGTAAACTTAACTTAGGCCTTAATGATCTTTGTTTTATGCAAAATATCTAATCCTGCTATATTTTAAACACCACCAGACCTTGTCTGCTGAGGTATAAAGACACTCTAGTCGGTTCATATAGCGACGTAACTGATTCAAATGCCAAGTACGGAATAGTACGGCCGGAATTTATCTCAATGAGAAACTTGTGTTATCTCGGCTAGTTATTCACCGTGTGAGTATAGTTTAAATCGTACAAGTTCTCGTATTATATACATTGGTAAAACGTCTGCCTTTTCACCTGTCAGAGACTGCCACAGTCCAATGGAAGAAAGATCAGCGGAAGAAGTATAAAATGTTTGAACAGACGGTACATCCTAAACGAAGTTAGTACTTATCCATCTTGAGGTAAATTCGAGCGCTCCGATTGGTTTCTTTTTGAAGAGGATTTTGCCATACCGACCGTTTGCTTAGAAACGGTCATAAGTCGTGTATTTTTTTGTTTTCCGAAAGCTGAAAATAAAAAAAATTAGAGCCATATAATAAACTATTCACTAACCTAGCTTACTCGAGCCGTAATGGGGAATATATATATATATTGGCCCTCGGACGTTTTTGTACGTATTGCCACGACCTCGGGCCAATATTCCCCAGTACGGCCCTCGCGCTCGGTTAATAAGAGGTTAATCATTTCCAATCTTTCGGGTGGCCGAGATTTTTTCGAGATTTCTTAGCTAATTTGTTTGAAAGGTTCGTCGAGTAGTGAAAATGGTTGGAAGGAAAAGTGTTATATTCGGAAGCTTCCCTTCAACGAAACAGCAGTTCATATATTCAAATATTTAAGACTGAGGAATTTTTATAACGAGCAACCGTTACCACGGTTTGTATTACGAAATAGGCAGCAAGCAGCCTTCATTTTCCTATGTTATGGTCACTCAAGGTTGCTTACTCACCGTCAGCCAAGTCGCAATTAGCCAATTGCAAGCCTTGCCAAATATCCTGCTTTCATGAGAACTCGTGACTATGACAAAATTCTCGACTGTGATTAGTTATCAACAATTGGATCATGTACAGCTCAGTTGTCCAATGACAAAGCGTCCAATATATAACGATATTTTTAATAATAAAATTCGCGTAAGTAAAGCAAAGTAAGTAAAGTCCTTTATTTAAAACACGATTATCGTTTAAGCACTGCATGCTTAAGGGGTCGTGTAACTAATTAATTATCTAATTATCTAATTACCTTTCATTACCATAAATGAATAAAATATAAGAAATTAACTTACTTTATCGCAAATCTGATTTCCCTAAATATCGGACTACATTTTACCTTTGAATACAATTGTTTAAAATTACTCTGAAACACAGTTCCACAGTACAGCTCCTCTGTAAGAAACAGAATTTTTCATGAAATAAATGAAAAATCGTGGAACGACGGCCTTATTATGTCCTCTTAAGTTATACGGACTATTACGCCATACAACTGAATCTGAAATCATTGCGGGCATATTATCGCTAGCTATGTTGTGGATTAGTTTGACAAGTCTTCGCTTATACACGTCATTAATCGAGTCCCAATGTAAGAGTTCCATAACTTGTACTGATGGTGTGTCTCGTGGCAAATTAAAAATTAGCCTTCCAACACGACAGTGCAGTGCTTGCAGGGATTTAATGTAATCCAGGTTGTCACAGTTCCCCCAGATAGGGATGCCGTATGTCACTGAAGGAAGAATCATCTTAAAGTATAGGTCAAGAAGTGATTTTCTCTTAAGAAAAGAGCACTTTTTCAGTAAGTTCAATTTATTGACAAAGTTGTTCCTCAATTCCTTAAGGTGATTCGCCCAAGTAAGTTTTCTGTCGATAGTAATGCCCAGCAGCCTTGTGTGACAGACCCATGCAACGTTGACAATTCCGGTGGTCATCAAAGGGAGTAGACCGGTAAAGGTTCCCCCGGCGGTGGAACAACATCACTTCACATTTTGAAGAGTGCGGTGTTAACGAGTTAGTCATGCACCATTTGTTAAGCTCATTCAGTGCGTTATTTAGTAGGTTACAAACTTCATCAACGGTGGATCCGATACAGTACACTGTAGTATCGTCAGCATGCAGGTAGAGATTGCCTGATGTCACAGCCTCTGGCATGTCATTGGTGTATAAACTAAACAAACACGGGCGTAGTACCGATCCTTGTGGGATGCCGCACGTCACATTTAGCTCCTCTGACTGAGTGAAGTTCACAACCGTAACCTGTGTCCGGTGGTGCAGATAATCTGTAAGCCAAGAGAGAAGGTTGCCCTCGATTCCAAATTTGATTTTCAATTTATGTAACAGGGTGCGATGAGAGACGCGGTCGAAGGCTTTTCGAAAATCAATAAAAGCGGTAGCAACCACTAAATTATTGTCAACAGCTTGTCTCCAACTTTCTATTAAATGGACAAGTAATAACTCGGTCGTGGCGAGCGCGCTTTGTTTGCTCCGTCCTTGTAACTGACCTATTCATATCCCCAAACCTTTCAGATGAGATGACAAATCGTAGACAGGCTTCGTTTGGTCAAACTTAATTTTTTCTTTGATTTTTTCACGATACGTTGGTAACAGACTTGGTGTTGTCCAACTCTGTCTGTCTTGGTGTTGTCGAAATGTCCAACTCGTACTCGCAATCGCGATTTAACAGGTTGCTATACGCAGTTCTCTAGTTTGGTTAATCATTTGCATGATTACAGACCAAACTGGACTCTACTCAGTCCTGGTACCATTACATGTCAAGTCGCTCTGATATCGCCGGATATTTGGCCGCAGTTAGGTACGGTTAATATCTAATCGTACCTCTATGGTACTCTTCAGCACCATATCAAGCTTGTTAGTTGGTCTCTCTCTCTCTTTTTTTTTCTCTTCAAAGACAACGCCGGCGCGATCATGATATATATCAACGGATAGTCAACAGCGAGGTAGCCAATCAGATATCGAACTGGCCATGAACACGATGAATGTTGACTCATTCATTACTAACTGTTTATGTTGGACTATAGCCCAGGTCAAGATAGACTACAAGTAATCCTTCTCTCGCTCAGCCCGTTGAGCGAGACAAGCAAAAGAGGGACTACTCGTAGTCTAAGGTCAAGATAAATTCCCAAACATGTCCGTGAAAACAGAACATGAATTACTTAACGAGAATCGCGCACCCTAAGAGACTTTGCAAATACACTTTCTTTAACTTAAAACTTTAACTTTCAATAACTTTAACTTTTATTTCATTTAGATAGATTTAGTCATTTAGTTTTTTAGATATATATTAACTTCAATCCGATCGGTTCACTGAACTTGTTTTGAAAACAAAAGAATTAACGAAATCAAGTTTTTCTTTAAAACTTCTGACAATAATCGTAAGTTTAAGTTTCCTCGCTAGAAAGAATTTTTAACTGAAGATTTTGACAGCTTATAAGCAGAAAAAAACTTTCTGAAATTTGTTCTCATATGTCGCTATCAAACTGATTGTTAAACTTCTCTCCAAACTCCCGGGCCAACTGCTTAAAAGCGAGCACAACATTGTCAGTTTCGGGTCCCAGTTCTTCCAAAGAGCAACTGTGAAACAAGAAAGCAAGAAAATTACTTCCTAATAATAAATTTGACAGCACTTTCGACGTGTTACCTGATACGTTACTATTGCCATCACACTTTTAAGGCAGTGTAGCTATATAAAAAATGTTTCTAACTTTTCAGTGAACGCCCTGCAATCAAAGCATAACGTAAAGTCCCTTTTCGCGTCTAGTGGGCAAAACGGACGACGCTTATCTCCAGTTTTTGTAGCATGAAGCGACAAGGAATATTTCTAGTTCTCCCCGAATGGAATGTTAGTATATCACAGGGTTACCCCTCCCCCTCCCCAGCATTTTAATTCACCGCTATTAGTATACCCCAGGGTGGAAAGAGGGACTGTGAGAGGTTACCGGTAGCCTGTTTTACCTGATTGATTTAATGGTCAGATAGAAGTCCTTCAGCAACGAGAAAACCTCGCCGGCCTTGATTCTATGAAAGAAAACACCAGGTAAATTATAAAAGAAGAATGCTTTAGCCCAGAAAATACACCTTATTCCAAAATGGCCGCCATTTTAGAATTCTTTTATTTACTTGAAAATGAGCCCTTGTTGCCTCGTTTAAGGGAAAATATTCTTTTGAATTTCGAGTTTAAGAACGAGGCAACAAGTGCTAATTTGTAAGTAAACAAAGAATACTTAAATGACGGCCATTTTGGAATGACATGTATGGTAGAGCTGTTCTCTCATCAGGATATAAGAACAACCAGAGGAAATAACTAAAAATGAGCTTTACACTCTCTAGAAGCAATTCAATGCCGTAAATAATTGTGTTAATTACTAACCCATTCTCTTTCTCGATAACTTTCTGGGATCCGTGTTTGAAGAAATCCAGTGCATAAGCATTCAGATGTTGAACACGTCCGGTCGAGTTGTATTTCTTCAGAGGAAGAATGGGAACGACGTTCATATCTGTGTAGACATCTTGACGAATAATCTGAAAATGAAAATAACGGCCATTTTTTTTGTCTCTTACGACCATATTTGAAACTATATTTCATTAATGTTTTCCCACTGAACCCAAGATGTGTTGCATTTAAACATTACGATTTTAATACTCTAAGGTTATGCGTAAAAATAGTCTTTCTATTTTCCAAGTCTTATCGCCAGTCATGTCTGTTGTTAACAAGGTAAATGTTAATTTAAGTATAGCAGTAACGGTCACAGGGCCTTTCCTATTACGACATATTTAGAGCGTGTAAAACATCATAGAGATAATTAACGAATGTTTAGTGCAGAAACATGTGAATAGCGTTGCATTCAGTTAGCGCGAGAGCTGTTCGGGGAGAAAATCATCCGAGGTCAATCGATCCGATACGGACAGAGCGAAACAAAATGCGATAATAGATCGTGCAGTACCGTCTCCAGCTAGTGATTGGAGTTTATAGGTTGGCCTTAACATTTTCCCCTTCGGTTTTAGCCAGGCATCGCTGATACAAATGCCCATGGTCATGGAACGTATGCACATGACGTCATGGCAGCCCTATTGGTGTTCAAAAACAATGAAACGGCGGCTATGTTGGTGTTCCAAACCAATCCTGTGGCAGTTCAACTCGTTTCTTATGTAAACACTTTCTTTCGTTCCAATAAATTTGCATGGCTACTGGACACGTGAGTGAATACGCTCTATAAACATAACGCGAAAATCCGGCCCTATCATTAGCCATATCACAGCACGGGTGTGGTAACTCAGGCAAGTCCTAGCCATATAATAATCCCCGTAATATATGATTCGCGTGCAAAATCGGCCAACCAGATGGACAGAAATAGCCACGATATAAAAAGAAATGACTGCCACTTGTTTTACCTTCAACAAGTGTTCAATTGGCTCACGATGCTCTTTCTCATCTTCTTCGTCACTCTCAGATTTGTGTTCACTTTCTTCACTTCCTCCACCAACGCTGCTTGCTTTCTTTTCCAAGTGAACAGCTGCTTTTTGGCCAGTGGAATGAAAATGTAAGTCTGAATTCCCTGATAGTGCAGTAAATGACGAACAAGCAGAGTAAACAATGGAAGAGCGTGCAAGGCTTTTGATGGTTTCGTTTTCGACAAGGTCGGTAGAGCTTGCCTGATCTGGAAATTCTGCAACAGAAAACAGAGTTAGCTAATGTAGCACATAATGTAAAGCGTCATGTGTAGCGTTCTCAACGATCACTGTAAACCGTGTTTACACACTATCATTTAAGCGCACGTATCGACCAATTGTAATGCATGAGCGCGCGCGCAGTAGCTCAGTTATTTTATAAAATGCCATGGAAAATACAGCCAATCAGAACGCAGGAGAAAGCCATTGTTTACTCGACGGACATTACACCCAACGTTCCCATCGTGCGTTGTATTGATTATCTTTGGCTTATGTATTTTCTACAGAGAAAATACAAGTGACTCGTGGGATAATCCATGGAACCCAGTCTAAAGCGTTCATATAACTGGTCTATAAATAGCTGACAGCGTACTTATCCTTCTTACCTATGCCTGATAAAGGGAGTTTATTTTCCTCTCCCCGTTCCTCTTCAAGTTCGGCGGCCACAGTTTTGAGGTACTGGCTGAAGACATCCGTAACCTGACGGTTATAAGCTTGAAGTGCTTCGGCAAATTCATCAGGAAGATCTTCCAAAATTACCTTAAAGGGAAAATAAAACCATAAATGCTACATTTACGCAATCATAATTGTTAGTGAGATGCGAGGGTAAGACATCGATCAGAGATGGAACAAAGAAGCTAAGAATTTTAAATGATACAACGCCGTGAATTATTTTTGTTTCAGTAAGAAAGTATTACTCTTAAGTATCAGACTAAAATAGCACTAATAAAACCATCACTACGTTAAGTTTGCGAGTGTTTTTCTTAAAAGCTGACAATGTCGGTGAACTTCTATTATTCCTTGGTATAAGATTCCATAACTTAGGCCGTGGATATCTGATAGTGTACTTCCCATTTGTTACTGTATTAAATCTAAGAGTAACAAATTCATTGTTTCGCGTGGCGTACTTCATAATTCTCGAATCTTTGAAATGGGTCAGCAATATAATTGCATCGCAACAGATTTCGTTTTTAAGGCGTTAATCTTTTTCCTCCATTAAAGGATTCCAGAATTGAGTGCTTAAGCCCGTGGCCTTAAAATGTTCGTTCGTTTTTTTTTTATTTTTTTATTTTTTGCAACTTGCTTGGACTTGCGAGGAAACTTGTGAGTCCGTTTGGGCACCCAATGCCCTGGGGGGAGGGGTGTAATCCCAGGTTTTCCAGTCGTTTTGGTCATAAATAGGGTATCAATTTTGGCAATTTTGGTCTCAAATTGGGTATGGTTTTAGGACTCTAGTCTTGAATTGGGTATGTTTCTTAGAAGGAGCCACTTTTTCATCATTAACAGTAAGATGGTCAACAAAAGCCCTTCATAACTGATGTTTAGGGCAAGTGTGCCAGCTACAAAGGTCATAAATAGGGTATCGAATTTTTGACCAGGTCATAAATAGGGTAGCAAAAATTGCAGATTTTGGTCATAAATAGGGTAAGGGTTTTGGGAAGTGAGCCGCACACCCCTACCCAACGTTTCTGGGAGTACCCCCCGGAACCCAATGCAAGTCTCTATGCAAGCTAAACTTGCAGCTTTTTGCGACTACTTGCCAGTCCGTTTGGCCAGGCCAGGGCTCAACTGGTTGATTCGATGCTCTCATCCGCTTGAAAATGACTTTGACATGTTTGTGAATGGTTTATATAACTAAACTCTAAACCTAGTGCATGGCCTGTTAGAGACGCGCCGATCTGCTACAAAAAGCAGAAAAGAGAAGCAACGAAAAAATAGCTTATGAAGGAAACCCTACTTTTGACGTCGGGCACAAGTGAAGTCTTCGCTTGAAAGATGCGTGAAGGAATCTTCTACCAAACAAGTGGCTCAGAACAAGAACCATTTTCCTCATGACGTCTTTCGAAAATTTGCCTGTAACAGAGAAAAGGAAAATATAACACAATAAATATATTTGAAAGCCGCACGACATCATAGCAATCGTTTTGAAGTCTGATTTGAGAGAATGGAGAAACGGAAACACGCTAAAGACTGCCAAAAGTTAAGGAAATGGCGAGAGGGGATTAGAGAAGGTAGGGGATATCCCCCTCCCCATTAATTCTCCCCATAATTTGTGAGTCAAAACGGAGAATATGCATGGTAGATCGCATTGAAGCTGTCCTTACCTTTTAATCCTGGTTGACAAAGATCATGAAAGAGCCCGCGTTGCAGAAAACTGACCAAGACGTAGTTGGAAGGTTCGTGATAATGAAGATGAGTGGCGAGTCCGGCCATCTCTTGAAGAGCGCCAGTTTCATTGTTTATAAGACTCTACACAGGAAAAAATAACGACAGCAGCTTGCTACTGCCATGTTGCAAAATATGGGAATTGGCAGACATTTGTTATTAGTACTGTAAATTAAATTATGGCAATTTCTTGTGCTACCTGTTATGAATGAGCCACATGCTTATTGTTGAGTTAGGAGTATGATTTCCGTTACAAAAAAAATAAATTAGCTAAAAATAATACATCTGAAAAGGCATCTTAATGCATCTAAAAAGGAATAGGGAACCTAAAAGAGAACGATATACGATAATACACTGTAGTTAAATCATCAGCATAAAAGGTAACCCAAAGGAAATTAAACATCGTTAGAACGCCTAATAATTAGAATGATTTAACTCAGAATAAATGTATTGCGGGCCACGTAAAAACCGCGTGGATCAACATTATGCATTAAGGTAGTGTAAAGGTACTTGTTTTGCAGGTAGCAGACAGTTCCGATCTCAAATGGTAAAGGATTTCACTCACCAATCTAACAAGAAGTTCGACGCTAAAGAGAAAATGTTTCTTGATCTGACTTTCCATTTCCGGGTGCTTGCGGCAGATGAACGGATGAGACAGCAGAGTTAGAGCCTTGAAAAGAAAGTAACAACACAGTAATTATTGTAATAAGAGTCCTGTTCTCCCACATTTCTACGATTAATGAACTCATGCGCATTCCGTGCAAGTGTGTTCAGATTCGCCTTAAAGAGCTATATATTGATTCTAATTCATTGACGGTTACCCTTTGCTTTTCGCTCTTGATCGCTTTTCGCTCTTTGATCTTCGTTCTTCACTCTTCTCTCTTCTCTCTCTCTCCAGTGGAAAAGCAGGGAGCTTTAGTAATAACTTTCTCTTTTTGCAATACGTGTGCCAACTTAACGTGCAAACCATAGAGCTCAAGCTGCGAAAACTTCCTCAAAAGGACAGCATTCATGCAAAATACAGAATGCAGATTAAACCTGGCCAGATTGAGCCATTTAAATGGAAATAAGAGGCTAAGAAAGTGCCCTGCGTCGTGGTAACGGCGTTTTTAAAAGCTTGTAGCTGTTGTCTTACTACTTATACGCCACATGATTCTCAAGATTACCAGAGCCTTTCAGAACTGGAGATATTGCGTTCCAGAAACTGAAAATCTGCCGTTAGCCCGTACTTTTCATGGCACCTAAAATATATCACGAATCGGAAAAAGCCGGTTTTTTACATCGTGACTTTGAAAAGACGACTGTACCAACTTGAATCAATCAAACTTCACAATATTTCGCCAAACGTTAACGCAGTCCTTTGTTAATCTAACTAATGAAACGGGAAGTAAGCTGGATATTTCAAAACTGATTATTAGTGACAATTTAACGTTATTAATGTCTCAAAATCGGTCGCCTACGTTGCCAAAGTTCCTGGTTTGCTAGAAGGCCAAAAACAGATGACTTTGGTAGGATGTCTTGAGAGATACAAACTTCAAATCAATCAATATAAGCATTAGTATCGCAGCAATAAATGTAAGTGACCAAAAATTGAAGTTCGTCCCTTAGAAGGAAGACGAGTTAGAGCTGGGAAATGATATGTTCAACAACGTTACCGAGTCAAGGGTTTGACGTGAAAAATGGGTTTAAGACTCACTGCATTTCCGCCNGTTTTTCTTTAAAACTTCTGACAATAATCGTAAGTTTAAGTTTCCTCGCTAGAAAGAATTTTTAACTGAAGATTTTGACAGCTTATAAGCAGAAAAAAACTTTCTGAAATTTGTTCTCATATGTCGCTATCAAACTGATTGTTAAACTTCTCTCCAAACTCCCGGGCCAACTGCTTAAAAGCGAGCACAACATTGTCAGTTTCGGGTCCCAGTTCTTCCAAAGAGCAACTGTGAAACAAGAAAGCAAGAAAATTACTTCCTAATAATAAATTTGACAGCACTTTCGACGTGTTACCTGATACGTTACTATTGCCATCACACTTTTAAGGCAGTGTAGCTATATAAAAAATGTTTCTAACTTTTCAGTGAACGCCCTGCAATCAAAGCATAACGTAAAGTCCCTTTTCGCGTCTAGTGGGCAAAACGGACGACGCTTATCTCCAGTTTTTGTAGCATGAAGCGACAAGGAATATTTCTAGTTCTCCCCGAATGGAATGTTAGTATATCACAGGGTTACCCCTCCCCCTCCCCAGCATTTTAATTCACCGCTATTAGTATACCCCAGGGTGGAAAGAGGGACTGTGAGAGGTTACCGGTAGCCTGTTTTACCTGATTGATTTAATGGTCAGATAGAAGTCCTTCAGCAACGAGAAAACCTCGCCGGCCTTGATTCTATGAAAGAAAACACCAGGTAAATTATAAAAGAAGAATGCTTTAGCCCAGAAAATACACCTTATTCCAAAATGGCCGCCATTTTAGAATTCTTTTATTTACTTGAAAATGAGCCCTTGTTGCCTCGTTTAAGGGAAAATATTCTTTTGAATTTCGAGTTTAAGAACGAGGCAACAAGTGCTAATTTGTAAGTAAACAAAAGAATACTTAAATGACGGCCATTTTGGAATGACATGTATGGTAGAGCTGTTCTCTCATCAGGATATAAGAACAACCAGAGGAAATAACTAAAAATGAGCTTTACACTCTCTAGAAGCAATTCAATGCCGTAAATAATTGTGTTAATTACTAACCCATTCTCTTTCTCGATAACTTTCTGGGATCCGTGTTTGAAGAAATCCAGTGCATAAGCATTCAGATGTTGAACACGTCCGGTCGAGTTGTATTTCTTCAGAGGAAGAATGGGAACGACGTTCATATCTGTGTAGACATCTTGACGAATAATCTGAAAATGAAAATAACGGTTAAATTTTTGTCTCCTACAGTTAAATTTATAATTATCTTTCTCCACTGAACGGTAGGTGTATTGCATTAAAACAGTACCATATTAACTGAACAACCCAAAGTTATGAGGAAAACTATCTGTTTTTAACTTTCCCCTAGCCATTCATGTTCCGAAGTTCGTCGCACAACAAAGTTAACAAGGCGTGTTAACAAGGGAAGTGTTAATTAAGAAATGGAAAACGCGTACCGTGTTTCTATCGAGTTTTAGTATAAATCTAATAGCGTCCTATCACGAATGCCCTTCTCTGATTGGTTACGCTACTCACTAACTATTCTGTGATAAATAGTGAGTAGCGTAGCAGTGTGCGATTGTTAACGAAATGACGGCCGCTTCTTAGCGTTTTTGAAGTGTCTGTGAAGAGGATTTAGATAAATTTTAATTTAAAGTTTTTTTTTTTTTTTAATGTAGCTTGGCTACAAGACGCTCAGTTAATTTTTCTAATTTTCCGTACATTTGTCTGTGATTTTTTCTCCCGCGAACCTCGTCTACCCAGCCGAATTTATATACAAATGTATGGGAAATTAGAAAAATTAACTGAGCGTCCTCTAGCCAAGCTAGATCCTTCAAACTTGGTGAATACAATCTTCCACCTAGTATTTTAACATTGAGATTGACAAATTGTGTAAAATTCGGATTCCCATACAAACACTGTAATTTCTGACCGCTTTGCCTACTCGCAAAGATGGCGTCGAAAACCGTGATAAAGTATATTAGGGAATGTTTAGTGCATAAACATAGGAATAGCATTGCATTCAGTTAGCGTGTGGCGGATCTAGGGTAAAACAAAAAAAAAGAAATCATAAAAGGAAGAAAAGCCGGCAGGGCAAGCAAAACAAAACCGTTCCCCGCCCGCCCCTTTAGCTCAAGGTCTGGATCCGCCACTGTAGCGTGAGGGCTGTTCTGAGCGCGCATGGATATACATCGCTGATATAAATGCCCGTAGACATACTGCAAAACTCCGACCCTACTATCAACCAATCACAACACGGGTTTAGTATCTCAGGCAAGCCCTAACCATACAATGATTCCCGGTATAGTAGTTTAGGATTCGCGTGCAAACGTGGCCAGAAATAGCCACGATATAGAAACTAGTGAGACAATCTCAGATAGTGCAGAGTGCAATTTAGGGCTCTGATACAGTAGTCACACGGGTCCTCACCATTGCCGTTCTCTCCCCAGGTAGTCAACTAGCGGTGTCTGACATTTGCAGACTGCAGACCGCAGACTGCAGACCGCAGACTGCAGACCGCAGACTGCAGACCGCAGACTGCAGACCGCAGACTGTAGACCGCAGACTGCAGACTGCAGACTGCACACCGCAGACTGCTGCAGACTCCAGCAGACTCCAGATTACAGAGTGGACCTCAGACCGTAGATTACAAGACGTTGACTGAGGACCGTTGGCCGCAAAACTTGAAGACAACAGAGGTTCATCCGACACAAATCGTTGTCGTATTGAAATTATGACTCTTTGGCCACGTTTTAGACGATATGGGTATGTGTTGATATTGTAACTCTCAAGATTACTATCCACGGTGAATGCTGATAAACCACAGACAGTAACAATGTACCAGGCATCTATATCGAGGTGAACGCGCGTCTTCCATTATTATGTTCATTTCCTTTTTTGTCGTGTGAAAAAGATGCTATTGTAAGCGAAACGGCTCGTAATCATACCTCAGTATGCCTTCCTTGGTCATGTTCGAGTAAACTTGAGAGTTGACACTTGTCTATCAACACACACCCATATTGTCTTTTATTATATGGCTTTGGCTTGTGGCCGATATAACGCGCGCTCTGATTGGCTAAGAGCGAGATCTGAGCGGTCATTATGCAACCGTAATGCCCACGGGCCGATTAC